AGCTCAAATTTTACTTTTGTTCTTACGTCAGTCAGTATCATACTCATCAGAAAGCCAATAAGTTCATTGAGTGCTGAGCGAAGGAAGTCTTTAAGCTCAGAGTTGTTTGACTCGATCCGAACTCATGTAATAGGTTACATTAACATAGCTTTCAAAATGTCTGCGTGTGCTCGATGCTACTCATGTTAGATTAAGCCGATCTTGGCCCACTTTGAGCATCAAAAAAAAAGGCAATAGAACACCAGATAAGAAAAAAAGCAAAGAAAACAATAGTGAATTTATTAATATTTATATCGTACATGAATTAAGATTGCGTTTTATTTATATACAACAGCCAAAGTCTGATTAGCTTAATCGATTCGCATTAGTCTCATAACAATTTTAAAATGATGGCATACAAAGGACTAGCAGTTCGCATAGAATTTACTGGTTGCTAATTATACACGAGTAAAAACTTCTGTACAAGTAACTGAAAATGTCCAAAGACAAAATTCAATTTTTGAATATCGTCAAAGATAATATGAAGTTAGTGCGATAGTACAACAACGCTACGTTTCAAAACATTATACATCCAATTTATCTAACTCTAATAAATATTCACAAAGCATTTTGAACAAAGCATGCTTATACTTTGTGTTACTCTTTTGGCACATTTTAGACGAATTGATTCTTAATGTGAAGTTTATAATTATAATTCAGTTTTATGTTAGACAAGAAATTGATAAATAGGAAATATTTCATTGATCGTTTGAATGCAGCATTGAATTCATTAGAATCAAGTCATATTAATTGATCATTTCGTTGGCTTCATGTACGTTGGTGCCTATCTCAATGACTCGATATTCTTTATTAAAGAATTATCAGATGAAAGCTTTAGTTTGTCTCAATTAGCTCGAGCTCAATTCAATAAAAAAAATCTATGAAATGCTTATTTATCGAATTCTTCTTTTAGAAGTGGATTCTTTTCATAATGTTCAATATTCAAAGGCTAATTTTAATTGTGTGAACTTTTCCCACTATTCCTATCAATTTTGCTACAAGTATTTCAGAAAATGTTCATTTCCAATATTCTGAAATTGAATTTCCAATATTTGCCGGACTTTTTTGTGTTTTTGTCATCATTGATTAAGCGTATTTCAAATGTTCTCATTTTGATTACCACACTTGTCAGCACGCCTCCTTTAAAAATTTTCTTATGTAATCATTTTGTATGTATTAATGCACTTATTGATCAAGTCTATTTTTTATCGACCCTAATTGATTTGATGACTCATTCATTGATTTTGTGCAGTTTTTGCTAGTTGAATTAAATATAGAAAAATATTTGTTAACTAATGCTATATTTGTTTGAAAGAGTAACATTACATGAATCTATCTTGCATGAAGATAATCTCTGTTATGCGACTATAATTCTTACCGAATATCTTACCAAGAAAACAATTAAAGTCGGCTATTTCAATTCATGGAAGTCTATCACCACATGGTAGAAACATGACAGATTTTCATTACATTATGAATAGGGATGCTAATTATAATTCATCTTTTAATGATTATTGGAAAGTCAAACTAGATGAAAATGCTCTTATTAAATCTTTTGAAAGGAATAAATAAAGCAATTGTATATTTTTATCATTCAATCCAACTTTCAGGTTGCAACTATTGTGTCTTATCAGTGTCAATATAAAACAATTAATATTAATTTAGTGTCTCTTCCTATTTAACTTGACATTAATAATCAACAATTAAAAATAAATATATTTCTTTCAAGATGTTTGAAAAATAAGAAAGATATGCCAAAGAGGAAAATTTCTTAGTCACTGCGACTCTCATTTACCGATGTATGTTTCGCATTTTCACTTTATTGAATACATCATACAAACGAAAAGAATGTTTTTATTTTACCAAGTATTATTCTATTAAAACTTTGTTTGACTTCGAAATTGAAGTATTTCTCAAAAAAAAAAAGGATTTTTCATAGAATAAATATAATTATATCTTATTCTAGCTAGTAACATGAGCATTAGAATATAAAAGAAAAACGATGGATTCGAATGCCAAAGCATACAAAATCATTAATGATTATTATTGAATGTAGACGTGTAAATAGCTGTTGTGACGATATTCAATTGATGAAAATATCAATTTTAAACTAAGGAATCGACTAGAGTTATTAAAAAAAACGATCAGTCACATGACATTATTCGTACGATAAATTCTTTTTTCACTTGTTCTGTTTGAAGTCTTTTTGAAAACTGAAATCATTAAAAATATTGCAATGCAAGATTCTTGTAATTTTTATTAGATGATATCATTGAAAGAAATATCTTTTCAATATAGACGGCGTTGTTCTTTAATAAAGTTGGCATCATTTTTCAATTTTTTCAGCATATAGAAATATATTCAATATTAAAAAAAATTTTTTACATAGTCAAGATTTCACAGTATAATTTGATACATGTAAATATGTCGATAATTAAAATCATATAAAAAAAGGATTAAATTTATTTTGAAATTAAATCAAATCACTGCTCATCAAAACAAATAGAAAAGTTTTCATTAATCTTATTGAAAACTTTAATTTACCTGAACAATTGTGAAGAAATTCTCTTTATTTCTTCTTATTTAAGCAATAAATTGAATATGCCGAAACACTTGAAGATATTTGAATTAATTAGCGTCATTTCTGTATACGTTGCGAGATAAATTAAGTAAAAAATGTGTCGCACCTATAAGTTTAAGTTTGATAAACATGACATAATCCGTTAATTGAAACCAATCTGTCATTCTATTACATATTGTTTTCGCTCTTATTATCATCTTACTCGAATTTGTTGCATAGAGTAAAACAATTTTTTGCTGATGAAAATTATTTGCAGTCTGTATAAATTTATAATGACAAATATCATGTTCATCATCTAAAGATGAAGAAAAATATCGAATCCAATGAAGAACAACACTATCGAAATCTGCTGAAATGTAAATTGGATCGATTAATATAAGAACAAATGAATTTGAATTAAGTCTCGATAAAAATTCAAAATTAAGTTGAACAATGGGTGGTTTGATTAAATTGTTTATAATTAATTGTTCACCTGGATTTACAGGACGAGAATTATTTAAATAATATAGATGAATAAGAGACGAACGACGACGAGCACAATTTAATTCACTCAGAGCGAATTCCGTTTGAATATTCTTTTCTGGTTTACTAAATGGACATAAAATTGGTATATAACTATCTGAAATATATTATTTGATTCTTGAAGAGTATTTTCATTGAAATAAAACAAACCATTATCAGTAGAATTAAATGAATTCCTATATTCAATTCTTGATTTTTCTTTTTTTCTATGTTTGTTACTTTTTTGTCCAACAATAATAAAAAGAAAAATACCACTTATTAAAAGAATTATACATAAAATTAACGGGCCAGAAAATAATAATTGTCCAGAACAATGTTTGTTTTCTTTAGGCCGTTCATTTATTAATGATTCTCTATGATTCTTTTCTGTATTGTAACCGATTGAATCTAATTTTGATTTTGATTGATATAATTTAATTGATAGTTGAGAATCAATACTATCTTGGGATGGTGACGATACACTACTGATCGTACTAAGTCTTTTAAAACGATCATCAATAAAAGAAATCATTTAATAAAATCAAAAAGAACCTTTTATAAAATTATTATTATTATCATTATTATTATAGAAGCGCTTTTTAATTCTACAAAATCCTTTTGTGAAATACAAAAACTTAATCATGTGAATATTAGATTATCAGATTTCATCATGAATATGAAGAATATCTTGGAGATTCTCTTTAGGCAATAGCTAATAAACCATACAAATATATGAGAAATATTCAAATGACTCCTACAGACATAAAAAGCCATTGAAGACCGACAAAATTGAACTGAAATAAGCTTGCTCAATTATTTTAAAGTCTTATGTTCTATTACTTCCTTTAAGTTAACAATTAGAATAGATTAGCTTATCGTAATTGATAAAAAGCTAACATTTGGTCTCATTTTAATATATAAGAACGTCCATCGATATTCAAGGTTATCAATCAACTGAATTTTATAAGTTCAAATCGAAAACTATTGATTAATCATTGGTCAAATGATCATATTCTTTTATTATTTTTGGATTGAACACCTTGAGACGATCTCGACAAATATTGGACTTGATAGCATTCTCTGCAGTCGACCTTCAACACTAACGATTCGAAAATGACTTCGACAACTAAAATTCAATAATGAATTTAGGATGTTGGTAAAGAAGATATGCTTTGATGAAACGGAGAGAAACTAATAATGAAAAAACGTATTGTGAAGTTGATTAAAGACAATATCGACCTATTTTTGAGCTTTTTTCGTTCGAAAAATACAGCAAAAATATACATTCTTCGCCCGAACTTCAACAATATGCCAAAGCTATTGTCGAGAACTTTTTAACTATATCAATTCTTCTATCAGTTTATGTAGTAAGCATATTAGTTGATAGATTTCTTTGATATAAGTCTATCTAGCCATGATGGGCCTAGTAGATTGGTTTTATTAATTAAATACTTTTTATAGCGCTTCAAGTGGTGATGAATCAAGATGATGATTTCTCTAAATCTTTGAGAAACTTGTCATTGTTACTTAATGTTACGCGAATTTATTTGAATGTCTGATTTTTTTTCATTGATGAGTGTCTTGTTTTCAACAAACTTTGTACAGTGCTTCGAATAATTAAAATGCATCTATATCTTAACACGACAATAGTGACATCTTTTTCTGAAAGTTAGATCCACTTCTTATTTTTATATATAATCTCTTTCAGAGCTTTATGAGAAAAATATTTTTCTAAACATTGAAATTTCGAAATTAATTTCTATTGGACGTTAAGCGAAAGTATTTCTATCGGTTGATAGTGATCAAATCACAAGACTATTCTGTAAACTTGCAGCATTCCTTAAAAAGCTGATCTGCCTATGAATTTATAATTCGAAAAATGGAAGCAAAATTAGCCGAATTTCGTAAGACACATGCTCAGAAACAGCCTTTAATCAATTGGCGTGAAATTAATTCTCGTTTTGCATCAATATTCTCATTTTTACGGAGAAAAACTTCTGAAAGAAAACCACAAGAAGAAATAGAACAAGAAGAATCCATAAGTAGTTGGCAAATAATTTTACTAAAGTTTTTCGTATGGTTAACATTATTTTTAATATTCATTCGTCTTGAATTTGGTGCTATTTATTTCATTATTTCTCTTCTTTATTTAATGTGGTCAAGTTTGGGTTCTCGTCGTCGACGTAATCAATTAAGTGCTTATTCTGTATTTAATCCTAATTTTGAAAAAATTCAAGGAACATTTTCAGCAGAAGATTATGATCGTCAATTAAGACGTGGTGGATCACCTTTTTTTTCATCATAATTTTTTTTTTCAGATGATTTCTCCTGCGAAACGTTTATGTAGTTCATCATCGTCATCATTAATAAAACGTCAATGGCATCCGATCGTTGATGATGAGTATTTGCATTTGCCAAATTTACAATCAATGATTGTTGCTCGTGTTAAAGATCGTCGTTTAACATCAGATATTCTTCCATTAATAAATAGTATATATCCATGGCCGAATTCTTTAAAACATGTTAGAAGATTACATCAAAATGATAATCATTTAGATATTCTTCTTTATCCATCAACATACATATCAAAAATTGAAAAAAATCAATTTGAAAAATATTTTGAGAATGAAACACGATTAATAAATATTCCAGAAAGTCCTTGTTTATTAAAATGGCAATATGATATATGTATCAGTCAACATTGGCCTAATCTGGCATTTAGAGAAAATAAAATTCTTGAACAATCACAATTAAATAAAGATCTTACAGAACAAGATGAGATTAGTCTTGATTTACTGCAGGTTTAAAACATTTTTATCAAAGAAAAAGAAAAAAAAAAAAAAAAGAAATTTTCTTTTTAGAAAATTCAAGAAAATGATAAAGAATCTCATTATGCCATTATTGTTGATAATGAAAATAAAATTCCTCTTGTTGCTTCTCGTGATTATCGTCATGAACATCCATTACAACATTCAACAATGGTTGCTATTGATTTACTTGCTGCAAATTCAGTTTATTCAAGAGAAAATTTTATTGAAAAATTTATTGAAAAAAAAGAAAAAAAAGCTTATTTATTAAACGGTTGTTCGATTTATCTAACACATGAACCTTGTATCATGTGTGCTATGGCATTACTTCATTCGAGAATATCAACTGTTTATTATTTAAATAAAAATCCAAATGTTGGAGCACTTGGTTCCATATATAAACTACATACTTTAAAAAGGACAAATCATCGTTTTACTGTATATCATTTAGAACAAATAAATAGCGATGATCCTGTCAATACTTAAAAATAAAATTGTGATTATTTTGTTAATTAAATGATATGAATGAAAAAGTAAAAATAATTTTTTAGATAATAATGCATTTTATTTTATGTTCTATTCGACATTCATCAAATATATTAAATCATCGTCGATTTTCTCTTACATCATCAAAACAAAATCTTTTTAAAAGTTTATTTGATCATTTTCAATATGCTCGTAAAGCAAAACAAGCTGCACAACGACGTGGAATTGATTTATCAAATTTAACTCCTGAACAACAAATAAAATTCAAACCAATATTACGAATGAAAAGTGCATTTCGTGTTGTTAATATAACAATGGGTATAATGGCTGTTATAGCTACAACTGTTTGGTATAGACGTCGTCAAAAAGAATATCAAGTTGGAAAAGAAATTAATGATGAATTAAAACCAATTTGGATGGATTTAAAATATTTTAAACATAAAGGTGCTATGATTGGAAATTATTTATTACCTGAACAAATTGTTGGAAAATTAAAACAATTAAAATCATTTCAATTCAATCAATCTGATTGTATTTGTGCATCATTTCCTAAATCAGGAACAACTTTACTACAAGAAATTGTTTATTTAATTCAAACTAATTTTGATTATGAATCAGCAAAAAAAATTGATATTACCGAAAGATATTCATTTCTTGAATGGCCAACTGTTGATCTTAAAAAATTATCATTAGATAAAACAAATAAATCAAGACTTTTTAAAACACATTTACCACCAGAATTTTTTAATGAAACTTTTAAAAAAGCTAAAGTAAAAGAAAAAAGAACCAATCGATTCGATATTATTTTCAATGTAAATAAAGAAATTTGTCGTTTTTTCTTTTAGGTTATTTATATTTATCGAAATCCAAAAGATGTAACTGTTTCATTATTTCATTTTCTTCGTTCGATAAATATTGAACTAACTTATTCTGGTCCATGGAATCAATTTGTTCAATCTTTTCTTATTGATGAAAGTTAGATTCATCTTTTTTTTTATTTGATTCCAATTTATATTATAATTTTAGTTTATTATGCACCATGGTGGCGTCATGTTAATGATTATCATTCTCTTAATGATTCTATTTTTTTTGTTGCTTATGAAGATCTTCTTACTGTAGGTTTTTTTTCTAGATTTATATTCGAAATGATTTCTTTTTCTTTTGTTTATAGAATTTTCGACCAACTGTTCGTCGTTTAGCAGCTTATTTAGGAAAAGAAAAAGAATTAACAGAAGAACAATTAGATAAACTTGAAAAATGGTGTTCATTTGATTCAATGAAACAAAATCCTAAAGTTAATTACAATTGGTTTCGTGATTGGGGTTTTGTTAATAAATCGTTTTCATTTTTACGAAAAGGTAAACTATTTTATATATTCGTCCATTACTCACAAATTTTAAGTGTTACTTTTTTATTTAAAAGAAAAAAGATATGTTTTCATATTTGATTAGTAACTATGATTGAAATCAAACTAATTTAATATGCCATATAATTTGATTATTTTACTATAGAATAAGAATATATTGATATGTCGAAAGCAAATTTATTAAATAGTCATATTTTATTATTGTTTCAGGTAAAATAGGTGATTGGTTAAATCATTTTGATGTTGAACAATCTAAAAGCTATGATAAAATGGTATCAACTCGTCTATCGCCATCAATTCCTCCATTGAATTATGGAATATCTTCAGAAGATCAACAACGTCTTTATGATTATGATGCTAAAAAAAATTCTTCTCAATCTTCTTAGATAAATTATTTTCATCTTTTGTTTTGTTTTGTTTCAATCAAAGTGTGGATTGATTTAGTTTGAATTTTTTTGTTATTTTAGATGCAAAAAACTGAAATTCATTGGTCACCAAATGATCGAAATCAATTAGCAGAAATAGGAGCTGAAATAATAATTCATACATTTGATCGACCATTAAGTGGAGAAAGTGGAAAATGTGTTTCTGGAGGAACAAATAAAAAAACAACAAGTCTTAATTATCCATTACATGAAAAAAATAATATCAAAGTTATTTGATTTTCTCTCTCTTTTTTATTTTTTTTTTCTAAGTGTTAAAATAAATTTCTAGTGTTGTGCATGGTGGCCATCACAAGAATATCCATATGTATTTGCTATTGGACAGCCTAATGGACGGATTATATTTGAAAAGTCAGTTTATTATTAGATTAATCTTTTAATCATTTTTATTTTTAGTGTTAAAGATCGATCAGATCCATTGAGTCAAGGAAGAATAGGTTTATTTATCATTATTATTTATATTAAAATGAAAATAAAATTTGTTTTTATTTAAGTAATTGACTCTAAACAAGGTCGACCATGTGTTGCACTTAGTTGGAATCCAAAAATTCCTAATTTAGTAATTATTTTCTTCTTTTTTTTTTCTTTTCTCAAAGACTTTAATTAAAATTAATTTTTTCTTATTATTTTAAAAGCTTTTGTCAGGATTCGATAGATATCGTTCTGATAATTGTTTAACAATTTGGGATATAAATCATAATGGTATATCATCACCATCATTACATCAAATAGGAGGGATAGCATCATCATCATCAAGTATTGAGGAGTATAAAAGAGTTGATATATTAATGCATAATCAACAAGTTTGGAAACCAATATTTGATTCTGGACTCAATGAACAATGTCATTCATTAGCATGGTTTAAACCAAATGATCGTTGTTTTGCTGCATGTACCACACAACATAATACAAGAACTATTAAAATTTATGATCCACGTGGTTAGTTTTTATATTAAGTTTTTTTCATAAAAACTCAAAATTGAAGATATCAAAGATGATTCTATATTACACACAGATCAATTTAGACTAGGTTAATCGCTTAAATATGATAGTAGCAAAAATGCTATACATATTTTAGAAATAATTTATAAAAATTAGTATGTAGTCTCCTGAAATGAAGCAATAAACAATGTTCTAGAATCGTCATCAATGATCTCTAAAGAAGATATGTAGTCTATCGTTGAGAAAATTTTCAAGTATTTTTCAAAAGAAAGGTATATAAGACGGCGTTTCCAGTCAATCTACATCTACAAAATTTGAGACATATGTGAAGCCCTCCGCGTTAGTCTCGAATTCTGTTGAATTTAACTTCGAAAATTTTAGATCTGATGGACTCTAGTCTTCTGAGAAATCTATAGAGTGCACTAATCATCAAATATTAAATAAAAAAAATCGGAAAAAATTGTTTGATATGTTTGAGACGACTATCCAATTTCGATTATAAAATCTCATTGAGATTATCAAAGTATAATTCGACTGTGTCTAAAAATCTTGGACCTGTCTGGCTCTACACATATGGCTATAACTGGATCTAGAGAAAGATATGGATATTGTACTGCTAGAGTTTGTTCAGTAATCGTAGCATAAAACAAAGCTGTTGCAGTATTTCTCTTTGTGTGAAGCAAGATAAAAATTGTTTTTTATTTGGTTATTTCATAATTCGTATAAGTTTTTCAATTAATAAATTTTAGCAATTAAAATTTCCGTTCAACTATAGTAAAATTCAATACACTTTACATTAAGTAAATCACATGTGAGGTATCTCTGTCACATGTTTCTGCGTCTAAAATAAATTAATCTAACAGTCTATCTCAATCTAGTGGAAATAATTTGGAGTTCGAGAGTTTAAGAACAAAAAATCATCATTTCTTTCTACTCTACAATGAATAATACAACAAAGTAAATTATCAAAATTTGAACAATTTGTAGCTCACCATTAGTTGTACTTTAACGTACAAATCAAACAAAGAGATGAAGAAACATATTATAGAGCTCGTAGTTTTCATCAAACTAGAGAAGATTTAGTAAAAATGTAAGAGTTATAAAATATTCTACTGTTCTAATTGATTCGAAGTTATTTAGAAGAGTAAAGTTACTTATACAAAGTGAAAAAAGATCTCTTAGAATAATATTAAATTATAAAAGTAAAATAAATGTTCTAGTTTAAATCTTGATCTTGAATGAATGAATAAATGAATTGTTGTAACGTCTTAGAAAAATTTAGTTGTGTTGAATATATAATTATTTGTTTATAGTTTTGTGTAATTGTTTTTTCATTAATACAACGATATAAATGTGCATCGATTTTCCCCATGAAGAATTCTATTGAAAAAAAAAGAATTGATCTTGATCATCTTCAATAAATAAAATAAGTTTTATTTTTAATTTAAAATGTTTAATGTTTTTTTAGTTCCATCACCTGTTGTAACATCTTTTCCAACAAAAGCTCCATTTAATTTATGCTGTGATACAAGTGAACGATATATAGCTGCTAGTATTGATGTATGTTGCTTTTGATTTTATTTTTTAAAATCCAAAAAATAAAAATAAAAATAAAATTGTTTTAGAAAACAGTTTATGTATATGATAGTCGAGCAACTGAAAAACCACTTATTGTTCGTGAAGAACATGAACCAATTGTTAAACTTGCATGGAGTCGAACAGGGTTCATAGTTTTTATTATTTTTTGTTTTATTTGTTTTATAAAGAAAATAATTTTAGATCATCTCAACTTGGTTATTGTATTCGAGATTCTCCAAAATTTCTTGTTCTGTCAGTATCAACAAATCACAATCATGAAAACGATACTTTTGTTCATCGAATTCTTCAATGTATAATATTCATATGAGACGTTTTCTTTTCTTTTTGTTTTTTGAAAGATAAAATCATCAATTTTAGGTCCAATTCAACGTTATAGAATTGGTTTAGCATCATTTGATTGGAATTATTTTGATGAAAATCGTCTTGTTTTATTGAGTGGAAAAGAATATTTTGATTATGTTATTCCATCAAAATCAAATATTGTAGGTTTTTTTTTCTTCGTTTAATTAATATTAATATATTAATTTAGTGTTATTCACCACGTAATGGTCTTTTGTGGACAAATGAACATGAAATTCATCCATCTGTAATTAGTCAAGATCAAACACAAATATATTCCAAAGTTCTTTTTACATATGATTTATCAAATGTACAAAATGATCGAAGAACTATTTCTTCATCACAATCAACCTCAAATACAGAAGTAATCAATTTAGAATTGATTTCTATGGGTTTTTTTCCTAAATATATTTTAGTTAATTCAAATGGATTTAAAAACAATGTCAAAAGAAACACAATCAACTATTGAACAAATACAAAGATGGATCAAAAGTTAATCAAATAGTTTCTTTTTTTTTAAATTAAAAAAAAAATAATTTTTAATGCTTAGGTACAAGTATTAATCGAGATCCATATCCATTTATTGGAGTTATTGAAGCATTGAGAGGTTTAATAAAACTTTCTTGTTGAAAACATTGTTTTTATCGATTATTATATTAATTTTAGAAGCTCAACCATCATCAACAAGTATATTAACACATCAATCATGGTCATCAATGGCTAATTCAACATCTACGAAAACTGTTTATGAATCATCTGAAAGGTAAATTAATTTATTCTAATTTAATCGATAAAATATGTATTGAACAAATCAATCTTCTTCAATTGTTTTCTTTCGTTTTTTTCATTTCGATGAACACTATTAAATCATCGATGGGAGTATTGATGATAGATTTAGATTCTGTGCAAGTCTATGAATAGTTTAGAAATGATTTTAATAATCCGAATAAAAATCTTTTAGTTTCGAATATTTTAGATTCAATATTTGTTCTTTCAAAAGAGTTTCTCAGCTGAAGATACAGAATAGATTTCATTGTTGAATTTATAGTATGTATTGAAAAAGAAATATTTAAGAGCTACGATCAATGGTGTATGAACGAAAGAAAGACTTGATAGATTCTAGTTTCAATAGTTTTTAACAGCTTGCTTTTCAGTCTTGATAAATTTATGTTCAACGAATATTTTATACATAATCATATTCGTCCTTATTAGAATAAAATAATATATATATATCTAGATCAAATCGAATAGTTTTGTCAATTTTATTTGTCTAACATAAAATAAAATTTCGTTTATTTTCAAAAAGTGAATTAAAAAAAAAGAAAACGAATATTATTTTTAATAGGCAAATAGTTGCTCAATTATGTGGATGGTCAAATGTCGATTCAAAATCAGGTGGTTACGATCGTATGGCATTATTATTAGAACAAGATGAATTTGAAAAAGTAGCTGCACTATATATATTTCAAATGAATGTTAATCGAGCATTAGATGTACTTAATGAGGGTCTTCAACGAGGTTTTTATTCTCAAATTTTTATTTTATTTTAAATAAATAAATAAATAAATAAAATTATTTAAAGGTGGAAAAGAAGAATTAGCAACATTAATTCTTGCATTAGTTGGTTCAATTCGAGCAACATCAACAAATAATGATGATAAAATATTAATCAATGAATTTTCAGCAGTAACAAAATTATTTCATCGACCTTATGTTCGAGCTATGTTTGGATTTATTCTTACACAAGATGGAAATGATTTACAATATGAATGTGTTCTCGTATGTATATTTATTCATTTTATTTTTTCGTTTTGTTTTATTGAAAAATTTTTATTTCTTAGGATGAACAATTAGATCTTAATGATAAAGTTGCATTTGCTGCTCGATATTTAAATGATCAACGTCTTTATGATAAATTAGATAAATTAGCTGATGAAAGTCGAGAAAAAGGAGATCTACAAGGAATTCTTCTTACTGGTTTGTTTTATTTATCAATTCAAAGGAGAACATTTTCTACAACATCTCAGTTCTATAAATACGGCTCGATTTTAGCTGAAAGTGCAGAAATTAGGATGCAGCAATCTAAAGATTAGATCCGACGGTAGACTCTGTCTGATAATGACCTAAACTAGAAGAAAAAACAGGTCGTCATATCCGATCACCGGATTTCTACCATTTTCTGCACTATTCTAGTCGAAAACAGAAGTTTCTCTATCGAAAATTCAGGGATTCGAACGTCAGAATCAATAGCCTGGGCTGTTTTATTCAATTTTCATGAATCATTTGAAAGGATTACAAGTTATCAGTTAGATTAAGAGTTTTATTTTAATTGTCAATATATTAACATAAGAATAATACAAAGAAATAAGATAGTCTTGTTAGTCATTCAAAACTTATCGAAACTTTTGCTTGATGACTTGAGAAAAAACAAAATCAATTTTAGTTACAGTGATAATCGCAATTAAAAACAACTTCAACTATGATTAAAAAATTTTATGAGAGATTTATCATATTAGAAAGCCTTAAAAATAACTTTTTAACCATTTTGAAGAAGTTTGAAATAGATTATTAGTCTAATGTGATCTATTCACTTGCTAATAATTTTCTTGTTCAATATTTAATTATACTTGTGCTATTATAGGATTAAGACAAAATGGATGTGAACTTATACAGAAATATCTTGATCAAACCAGTGATATACGTACAGCTGCATTACTTGCTATTTATGTTCCTGAAGATGTACATCAAGAATGCCCTTATGTTCAAGAATGGATTGAAGGGTTAAGAAAAATATTTATTTTGATTTAATTAAAACATTAATCGATTTATTTTTTATAGATTTCGACTTCTTCTTGATGAACTTCAAATGTGGAATGAACGTGCTGAATTTGATATATATCGTAGTCATGTAACAGGTACAACACCATATCGTCGACATTATTTTGATCGTGCAATAAATACAAATCAGCATTTTTCATGTATTTTTTGTCAAACGCCACTCGAAGTTAATCAAGGAACATCAAGTCAAACTCCGACAATAGGTGGATTATCAACAAATACAACATCTACACCAACAACACCATTGAAAGTTCAAAGTCGAGCATCACAACAAACAATGACAACTAGGTCATCTGCGTCATCTTCGTCTACTTATCCACCACCAAATTCTGATATGGTATCATAAATAATCAAAAGTTTTTTTTTTTCAAAAATTATTCTTTAATTATTTAGTTAATGGTATGCGCCAAATGTCGTCAAGTCTTACCACGTTGTTCAATTTGTATGATGAGTTTAACAACATATATTGAAGATGCATCTTATGCATATGAACCATTACTTGGTTAGTACAACTAATTAATCATCTCTCATTCAGAAAAAACTCTAATCATCTATGAATCTATTAAAAAGATTTTGACTCATACTGCATTTTTACATACCTTGATCATTCTTAAAAACATCGGAGAATTTCCTTTTCGAACTTTTAATTAAAGCTTCACACAGAGACAGAACATAATGAGCATTTTTTATTGTTAAAGTTGGAGATGTCTCCGGTTTTCCTATCCTACGATGCGGCTATGCTAAAAGTATGCCTTTTTGCATCGCTCATCTATAGAGACAAATCCTATGTTCTTATTTTAAGATAGAAATTAATCACAAAGGCTAAAAATTTCACAATAAACTTATTTCATTAACACATATCTCTGTAGTAAATTTTAATGCGAAGCACAATATCGCATTAAAAAATACCATAAAAAAGTCGTATCGTCATACCAATAAGCTAAGGATTCGAACTGAAAAGTGATTAATCATTTGAAGAACTTCTCTTGTTACTTTATAATGTATTTGGTTTTCTTTTTAAAATATTCAATTAGATAAACATACGTTAATGTCAAGTCAATGGTTTACATGGTGTCGTTTATGTCGTCATGGTGGTCATGCTGAACATGTTTCGAATTGGTTTGCAATGAATCAACAATGTCCTATTGCCAAATGCTTATGTCGATGTACCTTGATTGATGGTATCTTTTGTTGACCATTATTTTTGTGTTCTTTTCTTTTCATATCAATAAAAGAAAATGTTAGTTTCTTGAATAATCAATCAATTTTTGTTTTTTTTTCTATTTTTTTGAAAATCGTTGAAACATAAAGAGATTTTTGAAAAATAATTAAAAATTTTAAAATCAATATATTATTCATAAATTTCTTTTTGAAGATCCATTTTTAGCTAGGCGTAGACGATTATCCTCGTCATTCAGTAGTCGCAATATATAACTCTACTTGAATTATTTGCTCTTATATATAAATGAAGAAAAATCGAACAAAGTGAATCATGATTGTAACTACCAATTATAATGTGATCCGATCTGTATGTGAAGTATCTAGATTGAGAGAGCTCAAACGTTGTTTCTGTGTACTAATAAAAATTCCATGTTAAACAATTTTAGCTTGCCTTATCACGCAAACTATTAGTTTTGACATGTTCAAGATTGAGTTCTCGGCTGTAACTAAGTTTTCTTGAAAATTTTATGATTTCAACCATTGATGAAGAGGCGATCTATGCTGAAAATTTCTCAAATGATGAATTTATTTTTGTTCCGCAGCATTATGTCTAATTGGTTCTGGTTAGTATTTACAGTAAAGATTTACCGAACTTTATTTCTAAGCAAAATATCGACCAAAAAAAAGTTTAAGTCTATATAAGTTTTAATTATTAGTTGAATTTTTTCTAACACTTGTTACTTTGGTGATATTACCACTGAATCATATGTATTTATTTTTTCTTTGAAGAAAAATCATTTATATGTTGTTGATATTTCAATACTTTAGCTATTTAAACTTCTAGTGTGCTATATAAATAATATCTTCATCTATTTGAATTCTTTCAGATTTAAATTATCATTGGCTTATTAATAGGTTAGCTCAAGTCGTTTCAGTTGTGATACATTCCTTAGTCTTCTACTATTTGCTCTTGTTTATTCACATTATTGAATATTCATTTAAAAAAACACAGAAATGAAGATAAAAACGATCATCCATTGAGATTGTTATCTACAATTATCGACATAACCATGACATTACAACATAATTGCTAATGAAAAAATCTTTATTTACTAACTGAAATAACGATAAATTCTCTTATGGGTGGTGACAATCTTTTACTGTTATCAACGGTTTGTTACTTGCTCTATGACTATCTACTTGATAACTATCAAGTTCTCTTTATCAACTATTGGACAGAATAAATATTTGTTAATAGTTAATCCTCATTTCTATTCTAAACACATTTCGATAAGGTTATTTTTATTTTAACAATCGCTACATTGAATAATTCTTCATTTCTGTTATAAGAATTGTTAAATCAACAGCTAGAATTTTGTTTTTCTATATTTGTAAAATATAATATTCAGATATGATATAAAAGAATCATCATGGATTATAATGAAAATTGTAAAAATAATTGAATAAACACGATTGTTCTTGTTTTCTTAAGTCATTTGGATTTTTGTCTTGACTAAAATTAATGATAATGAATATTCAAACGGAATGTAGCAATTGTCTTGCTAAATATTTTCTTATGTTTGTTAATCAGCTTCGAAAAATAATTATTTCTTTTTAGTTTCTTTCTCCATGTAATAGTCTAAGTTTTTGGTTCAATGGTGATTTGCTCAAATGGATTATTACAATATTTATCAACTATCCTATCAAATTTTATGATAATGTTCTAGAAACCTAATATTATTTGATTGAATTGAAGAGTCTTTCATAAATCTGTGAATATCTACTTAATATTTAATGTTATTTTTAAGATGAAGTCTCGTCAATCAATGAATATAGTGTTTTAACAATAATATACTATTAAACATCATACAAAGTCGATTCTTGTAGTTTTTAAACAAATTATAAAATGAAAAAAGAAATATTTTCTGTCAAATATTTAAGTATTTTTTCAATTAAATGATAGAGACTATATAATTTTCGAAACCCTTTTATCTAATAAATCTTTTTCATTAGAATGGCATAAAAGCAGTCTGCTAGATTAAAAACAAACTATCAAATTTCTATTGAAAAGTTCTGAAAACTGATGCGATGGTCGTAAGTAAATAATGAAGGTTAAAATATAAATTGAGATAATAACAACGGTTAAGAGTCATATTATTTCAATTAGATTTTTTCGATCGAGACAAGACCATTTTGTAAAAATAACGAGTTTTATTAAAACTAGATAAAAAGTCTTTGGGATGACTAACTCAGCAAAATAGATGAATCTTATTTAATGTTAATAAATTGCAATAAATAGAGCTTCTTTGATTGAAAACAACCGAATTTCACAATATCTACAAATCATCTATAGATTTGGACATGGTCGTTCCGGATTTCAACTCGAATTTTTGAAAACTCACCTATTTGTTTGTATTAGATCGGTGATGATCGAAAAATTAGATTCAAGCCTTTCGAATAACCGATCATAGACTCGTATTGTTTGGCCTCGAAAGCTATTAACCAAGTTTTAGAAAATAAATCGTTATGTGATGTTAGTGTGTAGTTGAAGTTGAGAGTGTGTGTATTTGAAGACAAAACTCTTATCTACAACAATCCTTCAATCACACTCACTCCCTTATACCATTCTTATCCTTTTATTATTTATATAATCATATGCTAGCTAACGTTTTATTTTGAGATATATTTTAGAATTGAAATAGGAATTAAAGCAAGTTATTTTGTAGCACTTGTCATCAACGATAATATTCAAGTGAGTCAATGAAATATTTGCGAATTATTAATAGTAATGAGATGAATTCTTTTTATAGTAAAATAAATTTTGTGCGCTTATTTATCAAAACACTCAATTAAGTTTTTATAAAATATTTGTCATAGTCATTTCATTTGAAGTTCCTGAAAATAAAAAACTATCATCTCATGTCTTTTTGTTGCTTATCAAACCATTATTTAGAAGAATGTCTAAATGATAAAATTTCGTTCTTGGCCAAAGAATTGAACAATAAAAAATAAATAGTTGTTCATAAAAATATATTTAATTTGAAATTTTTTTTGTAAGTCGAAATTGACATAATTGTTTTATTTTCGAATAAAAACTAAAATGATCATTCAAATGTTGAATTATGTACACTCATTGAATTAATATATTGTTTATCATTTAAAATATATATTAGGAAAATTTATGTTATATGTTTGTATATCGGCATGGAATTTAATCTGTTTTTTATTTGTTATCAATCCGTTTACGTCTCGCTAATCATATTATAATTAGAAAATACAAATCAATATAATTTTATTGAAGATTTGCTCATATCTTGATATAAATTATTTCATCTAAACTTAATTAAAATCGAAAAGATCCATTCTACAAATAATAAATGATGATAATTGCATCTCTTTTCTTCATTAACGACAATAAATAGAATGTTTATTTCAATATTTCAAAGTTTTCCTCTATAAGAATTGGAAATAAATAATAATAAATCAAATCTAATAAGTTTTCAAAATCCATAAATAAATGTTTATTTGTCAAATTAACGAAAACTATTTCCTTAAAAAATTCTAACTTAACAATTTATTCGAAACAAAAACATAAAATTTACAAAAAAAAAAAATAAACGAATTTTTCTCACACAAACATCTTAAAAAATATTGAATAATTAATAAATAGATAGATGTAAATTGATATTTAGCAGTCTAAAATAATAATGAGCGAGATTAAGTTTATAAAAATTTTACGGGATAAAAGAAAAGAAAACTCAGGTTTTGTTTTCGTTAAATAAAAGAGCATTTTGTTTTCGTCGTTGTGCTTTTATTTCTTGAAATGCTGAAGATGTTCCAGTTGTTGTTCCACTACTAGGTAATAAACCAGCAGCAACATTTGTATTCGATTCTTTATTAATTAAACCTAATGCTTGTTTCATTTTTAATGCTTCACCTGGTTGAAACCATTCTTTTGGTATCATTGAAAGAAGAACGCTTGATAATGAACATAATATTGCCAATATAAATAATGGAGAATATTTTATATTTAAAATATAATGATCAATTACTATATTAATTCAATTAAATAAATAAACAAACTATTCAATAATAAATATAGAAAATAAAACTAACATGATATTGAAGGAATAGCAAGAATGAAAGAAGCCACATTAGCCAATGATGTGTATTTAAACGGAATTGTTATTGGCAATACATGAAATACTTTAAAAAAGGAAAAAAAATTTAATTTTTTTCGAATGATTATCTCTTACGAAGTGCACTAATAAATGTAATTATGGTAAGAAATGAATAAACATGGTGACTATAAATTGGTTCAAATCGTGTTATATGAAAAAGTAAAACAAATGGCCAAAGACAACATGTTCCACATAAACATACATTAATCATTACTGTTCGATACTTTGAATTTGTTAAATTTAGAATAAAACCATTCATAAGAACCTATTTAAAATAATAAATAAATTCAATACTTCAAAACAAAAAAAAATTAAAATTAATAAGTTTACATCAAAAATTGTTTTCATTGCAACAGCACAAGTAACCATTGATAAAGCAAATAAAAATTTATTAAAACGAAATCCACTATCATGACTAAGAAAAAGTAAAGCTGATAAAGCAAGTATATGAGCTATTATCTATTTAAAAAACAGAATTTTTATTTATTTAAAATAAATATTAAACAAACTTTATTTCCAATAAATTGTTCATGTAAGAAAATCCATCCCAACATTTGTCGTAATGTTATTTTAATTGAATATAATATTATTATTTGAGAAGATATAAGTAAAACCATTGAACGAAATATTAAATAACAAGACAAATACCATAGGATACATAATAAACATGTTTTTATTAAATAATCAACAAATTTATTATTTAATGAACATTTTCCATTGTCAAATATTCGAACACATTCTCTACAATAATTAATTAGATATTTTTTTACCACAAAACAAAAAAAAACATACGGATTTTTTATTTAATTAAAAATATCTTCTTTTTCTTTCTAATTATACTTTCTCTATTGAG